AAGGACAGTTCTCTCTCTCTCATAATAAAGATACATACGAATCTTACAATAAAGCACTGGCCGCCTGTTTCGTGATTATGTGTGTGTGTCGTTAACGTCATTGTAGTTGCAGTGCCACTGATTGAGCTGGATTGTTAAGTGGAACGTCCCCATTTATTAACCCACGTGACACTAATACTGAATGGGAAGCTATTAAAAGTCTTATTGCAATTCTTGAACTATTTGCAAAGGCAACAGATCTTTTAAGAGGCAGTAAATATACAACAGTAAGTTTTATATATAGTGCAATTAATATGAAAACTAATAGTCTTATACTTACTGATAATCTTAAACTATGGGAAGTAAATTATAAAGATAATAAAAGTGTTTTTGATAATACTAATTTAAATGAAGATCAAACAGATAATATCAAGTCTATAAATCTTCAAAAACAACTAAATATTCCTCAAGATTGTACAAATTTTGAAGAAAGGGTAAAAATGGCTCTATACAATGCTATAAACTATTATTGAGAAGTGCCATTAAAAGAAAAAATGTTAGCTGCATTACTCAATCTTCAATGTAAAGATTAAGTTTTATATCAGAATTTTTAAAATCCAGAACTTATATGATTCATTGTGAGAAGTATATAAACAACATCAAAATCAAACAAATATATTACCTATTAAACAACTATTACCATTTACAAGTAAATTATTGATCTCTATGTTCGATCAAATAATGCTTAAATAGATGAAGTTTTTGACTATATTGGAATACCAAAAATTTTCTATAAACAATGCCCCTTTTAATGGTGGAAAAGTAATCAAAATTGTTTTCAGTTTTATCTTATTTGGCACGAAAATACTTAGCTATTTTAGCTACCTCTACACCTAGTAAGAGGCTTTTTAGTAATACTAGAAATATAATTTCTGTTAAAAGGACAAATCTTTTACCTACTATATTTGAGCATTTAATTTTTTTTAAAAAAAATTGTCATAGTGTTGACAATATTTTTCCAAATAAGTAAATTTTAATTATCCCTTAAACCATCTAGCAAACAAATTTGTCTGCTAAAATAATTTTTAAAAAGTTTTTTTAAAATTTCTCAAAAATTATTTAAGCTTGC